CCGTTTTTTTTTTTTTTTTTTTTGCTAATCTGTAAAGAAATCCAAACAAAACTTCAAACCATTTTCATGTACGTTGTTTCAGACTTAGACACAGAGATCGGGAGTTGAAAGCCAGAAATCGGAAGAAGATGGGTCAAACGTTTAGCAGACTCTTCGATACATTTTTCGGCAACTCTGAGATGCGGGTATTATACCGTTCTCTATTTTTGTTTTCGAAATTATTTTTCTAGAATTGGATTTGGTACGCTTGTGTAGCCTTTTGATCTTGTTGATCACTGCGAGTTGTTTGTTTCTTCCGTCATTTTCTGGTGTTGAATTTGTTTCTCGGTTGGCTTAGAATTGTAGGCCGATTTTTGCAGAAACTCTTTCGATTGATTTACTTTATATGTAGCGGTACTATAGCTAGTGGGATTGAGAGCTGAATGCTAGTGGGATTGAGAGCTGCATGAACTCTTGGTGAAATGGTTTGGTTTTATCTGGCGAATACTAGTTCTGGGTAATTGAAACTTTATTCTGATTGTGGGATTCTCTGTTCTTATCATAGCCAGTGCATTAATATGTCTCGGTTATGTTTGATGTGTAATATGAGATGGAAATTCATCCAGTACGTCCAAAAACTCGTCGAGTTGGTCCCTGAATTGGAAATACTTAACAATTTGACTTTGCCAACAAGTTAGCCTCATGGACTCATGATTGATTACACAGACCTTATATTATAGGGAAAATGGTCCATTTGTGACCTGATTTTAGTAGTTGATGTTAGTTTGTTGTTCTCGACAAACCATGATTGATTTATAGGCATGAAGTCTAGCTTTGCCATTCGATCTGAGGAACAGATATTGTAAATTATATTTTCTAGAAAAAGTTGGGGATCATTTGGTAGTTTGCTTTCCATATTAGTTTTTATGATTTATTCACAGGAATGCAATCTGTGTTCGAAAATCGTGGTTCACTTCTTGAGAACGTTTTGTGGGAAAGAAGATCAATTTGTGACTTCTTATCTGGTGGAAGGGTTTCTTGTATTTTCTCAATTAACTATCCATTAAAGAGGTCTAGGGATTTTGCTTCATTCACTTTATATAGCTAGAGCGGACTCATGGAATGTATTTCCATATGCCTCATAGATTCTCTATTATTGTTTATCTGCTTGGTTACAAATCCTCACATATTTTATTCCTTTTTCTTGAGGTGGTTTAGGTTGTCATGCTTGGCTTGGATGCGGCTGGCAAGACAACTATATTGTACAAGCTGCACATTGGGGAAGTCTTATCGACGGTTCCCACAATTGGTAGGTTCTTCACAATTAAACAAAAAGTCTCAATCTAGGGATTTTCGTAACTTCTTGATTAAGTGTAAGTATCTATGTTTTTTGTGGTATGACAACTTCTGTGCTAGCTAATATATTTCTGCCCTAAATCAAGGATTCCAGTGTAATGCTTTTGAGACAATGCCAGATGACAACGTGGGGGATGGATTGCAAAATTCATACATTTGAGACAATGCCAGACAATGCCCTAAATCAAGAATTTAGCGAAATTGTCTTTGGAGAAAAATTCTTCTTTCTATTGTAATGTGTGGGGGATTTATTGAAAAGCTTAAATGGAAACAAGGGCTTGGGTTTTCCGTCAATGAGATCTCAAAAAATTCTTTAAGTACGGTTGAAAAGTTGCAGTCTTCTTATTCTCAATGGGTTAAGAAAGATAAAAACAGTGGTGAAGTGAGCTATAATGGTTGTTTCTAGGTTGTTTGCTCACAACAATTGGAAGGAGATTAAAGATGTTTTGGAAGACCACTTTTAAGAACCTTGTTTGAATTAATCATTTCATGGCAGACTTCACTAATTTTTAAGGGTGGAAACTCATTCAAGGCTTTTGATTTTGATGGTAAATGGAGACTCTATGGTGTTTTAAAATTGCTTATTGAAACATGGTCTCGTGAAAAGCACAATCATTTGAATTTTATTGAAGGTTATAGTGGATGGATCTCCATCAAGAACTTGCCTCTAACCTATTGGGATCATAGCATATTTGAAGCTATCAACCATTACTTTGGTGGTTTGAGAGTATTTCTTCCTAGGCTCTTAATATTTTAGATTGCACTGAGGCTCGTATAGAAATCCAGAGGAAGTTGGTGGATGTGTTTATTAGATACTACCTTAGGTGCTTCAAATATCATTAATGGAGCTCTCTCAAGACTTTTCCATTTCTTTGGATTCCATCGTTTACATCGAGTCATAGAAATTGGGAGCTGAAGTCTCTGAGACAGGGATGGATGTTTTTCCACCTTATGAGATTCATGAGTCCCCCATTGAGGTATCCATTAAAACTCTGGAGTTCTCAAAACCCTTATCTGTTAAAAATTGTTACATTGCTACAATATACTTGGAGAAGTGAGTCTTCCATTTCTTCTCAGTCGCCAATCGAGGACAAAGCTGTGGATCTGATTTAGTTGGCTAAAAGTAGAGGTTGCAGAGAGGTGGTTCAGAAATTCTTTCGCTGTGGAGGAAGCCATTGAGAAAGGACAGAGGAGAGGGGTAAGGGAAAGGGAGTGCGGGGCTGAAGAGAGAACAAACAAGCTATAATTGCGTCCTCACTAATTGATAATTGTACTTTCTTTATATTTATCAAATAAACTTAATACTTCCGAAGTAATACTCATAAGACCTTATATCCCTTAGATGGTACATGGCCATCTGGTTTCTTGTGTGGGTTTTTCTTGCATTTCTTGTGCGGGTTTTTCTTGCATTTCTTGTGCGGGTTTTTCTTGCATTTCTTGTGCTAATAATTGTTTCAGTTCTTTGCGCCATTACTAGTAGTAAAGTCTTTTATGGCATTCATAGACGTTTGGTGCTTGCAATCATAACCTGGTGGTTTTATCCCGTTAATGTGGCATTAAATTTATTTTTCATTTTCCATGCAGGTTTCAATGTGGAGAAAGTCCAGTATAAAAATGTTGTGTTCACTGTTTGGGACGTTGGAGGACAAGAGAAACTGAGGCCATTATGGCGTCACTACTTTAATAACACAGATGGACTGGTAATGACTACTAGTGTTAGAATTTCTACCATTTACAAGTATTTGTGTCTAATTTTAATTGTCAAACATTTGTCCTTTATTGTCCTTGTTCTTTTTTCCATGTTCGTAACAGGTCTCTCTTCTATATAAGAAGACCTAAATTGCACATATTAAAATATCAATATATTTTTATTCTCTCAAAATTAGGATGGCATCAAGAGTAAAGAGGTTATGTGTCTAAACTCTATAATGTTGTTTCCTCCACCAACTTAAAAAAATTTCAAACCCACAAATAGGGATGTTAAAATATTGATACAAGTTTAAGTTTACCGCAACTCCTCAACTTAAGCTTTTGGATTCAGTGATAATTTAACATAGAGCAGTAAACCTAGATCCTTAAAAAACCCTAGTTGCCACTTGTACTATCTATCTTCAGAGCCTTAGTCGCAATGTCTAAGTGATGCACCCTACTTCTAGATCTTCGTGGTTGTTGGTGCCATGTTCGCCATTCAAGTATGGTTGTCGCTTAAACCTTCCTCAGTTGTGTACCAGTATGCTGCCAACGTGGCTTCTCCTTGATCCATTTTTGATCAGACATTTGCACCATTCAATTCATTTTTGATTGTCGTTGTTCACGCTTTTCAATTTGTTTTTTTGTTGCTGATTCCTCCACCCTAAGCTGATTTGTGCCTTCTAGTTGATTCACACGCTGATGTCAACTACAAGGATTGGTTCATGTCATGGTGCCCACACATCCGTGGATTAGGTCTCCCCCTGTACAAAAAGTTATAAATTGCACATATTAATATATGAATATATTTTTATCCTCCCAAAACTAAGAACTAGTAAGGGATGTCAATGAATTTTGTAACTTGGATTTTTATTCTTCAGGTTTCTTTTTAACATTCAATTTGATTTTATAGTATAAAGTATCATTCTGGAGTTATTGTTTATTTATTGACCTCCTTTCTTGTTCATAGAAGCCTATTATTGGTCTTTTTCTTATAAATTATTGTAAGATGATCTTACATTCTCTCTTAATATTCATCTAACAGAAACAAGTCCTTATACTGATATTTTTACTCGTGCAGATTTATGTGGTTGACTCCTTGGACCGAGAGAGAATTGGGAAGGCAAAAACAGAATTTCAGGTTATGGCTCAAGTTGCATTGTGCATTTAAGTATGGCGTTATGGGCAACCCTTTGTTTGCTGATATGTAATTTTTCTTTCAGGCCATCATTAACGATCCATTTATGCTGAACAGTGTCATATTGGTCTTTGCGAATAAGCAGGATATGGTATGTATATCTCATCTTCTTCTGGTACATACTGTATAAATAATTAATGTTTTATATCCATAATTTGGTTATATATTATGGGTTGGGAAGACAAAAGATAAACTCTTCAACCTGCTTCATTTCACAAACCTGCACTGATACGTGAAGTACATGATGCATATGTGATAAAGGTCTGAGCTAGTTGTAATATTAGTATTACTCCTCTCTTTGAGATACACATGCCATGTCATAAGAACAAAGGTTAGTTTCTAACAAGCCGAAGTTGCGAAAAGGACCTGTAACTGCCGTGAATTGTGAATAAGAATATTGAATACTGAGTATTTGATATTTATTTGGACAATTGGTTCTGTTTCTGAATAACGGATATTTTTATATTTTGTTTCCAATATATTTTTAGTTGTTATCTTAAAAATCAGGTCCTTACATTTGGTCAAAGAAAAAGAACAGAAATGTTTTCCTACTTGAAGAGGACGAAGAATCGGTGTAGAAAGTAATCTACCTTGATTATGCGGTTTAGAGGTCGCTTCTAGCCCCTCAAGTTTGTCTGATCCCTCTTGTGTCGTCCCAATCTCAAAACATATTACGTAGTGAATGGTAGGGGTCGGAATACAAGTATAGACAGCTAGATAGCGGGAATATCAAGTATGGAGTCCTGGCTTAGTTAAAGCCTGCTCTTGAAGCCATAAGACACCAGCCTTGTCCATGCAAAGTATGGTGAATAAAGAAAGGTGAAGTCGATATTGTGCCATGATCAATTGTAAACTTTTATAAAGATCAGATGGCCTATGAATTCAAATGGTCTCTTGCCACACCATATTAGGTCGCAGTTACCCCATAACAATATCAAGTCCAAGCCTTATATAGGGCACAACACCTATTAGTTTCTTTGGTTTGACATTAAAATCGAGCTTTTGTCCGTTTCTAGACGAAAGAGTGCATTGTGTCTTCAGCTGTGCTTGTCAAGCACTTCATATATAAAGCATTGAAGGTGAAGTTGAACACTGGTGATTTATAGGCGCCTTACCTTTTCTTGAGAAATATTTAGCACCAATTCAACTTTAATCCTGCTGCTTTGTACCCAACAAAACATTATATGCATGAGAGTCCTAAGGGATAAACCTTTTGACCATATAAAAGAGTTACTTGATGAAGATCGCATAGGATCAAGTCTACACTTCGTTGAGTATTAGCTCTAGTTCCACCGAAGAAAGATGGAAGTTGTTGCCGCCTGATTATAATTGAGAAACCCACAAATTCATGATTAAATCCCCCAGCAAAGATACAAGGGTCAAAAGTGGAAAACACCTACCCAATTCATCAATTAATTAAGATAGAATGTCAGCACCAATAGCACCAATAACCACATGGTCCTGAGGGTTCGACCCCTGTTCCCACCTACGTATATGGAATATTTTAAGAAGTGAACATCTTTCTTAGTCGCAGGGTCCGGGGAAAGAATAGAAAAAGGTGATTTCACTATATTTCTGACCAGGAACGAGTCCTATCCCAAGAATACTTTTTAGTGGGATGATAGTTCTGAAAAGAGTAGGGGTCTAAATCAAACCCCACATTCAAACCACACTTTTTCCCATTCGCAAGAACTTATTTCTTGCAACAGGCTTTTCTTTGTCTTGTTCATACATCTCTTCTTTCGTTCAAGTTCAATTTCACACGCAATAGTAAGTAATAGTATCTATAACGATTTCGATATCTCTTAGGTCATTCTAACGCAATTTTGAATGATTTTGTTCGTCCAGAAAGGAGCAATGACGCCAATGGAAGTATGTCAAGGACTGGGTCTATTCGATCTCAAACACAGAAAATGGCACATACAAGGAACGTGTGCTCTCAGAGGAGATGGACTTTACGAGGGTTTAGACTGGTTAGCTGGAACTCTCAAGGAGATGAGAGCTGCTGGATATTCTTCAGTAGGGACATCATTTTAAAGATATAAAAGGTTTCATTCAATTTTCCCTCGATCTTCCTCTTTGCTGGCCTCTTCAGCCATTAAAAAGCATTTAGACTCGCTTGTGCTGTGCAGGTCCAGGTTGGCTGGTCGAAGCCGCTGACTCCTACAATTTGCAGATTTCAAATTGTAATCATAGTGTCTTGTTTCCCTTATCAAACTTGAAATTATCAGGTGCCTACTCTTTGGCCTTGACCTTTGAATGTTAACTGACTAGAATGTAATCTATCTATCTATCTATATATATATATATATATATATCTTCTTTAGAAGCTTTTGCACATAATTTCCTCTCTCCTTCCATCTCTCTTTACGTTAGTATATTTATTTTGAAATGCTGAAAAATGTCGGATCCTTTATGAGGAACGGTGTTTTTTTGGACCCTTTTTCGAATTCTCGAGTAACCCATGTGAGAACCTTTTTTAAGTTTATCGACTACAGGAGTAGGGGATCAAACAACTGTAATTTAAAATGATAATTGATGTCTTGTTCACTTAACTATGCTCGAATTGAAGAGAGAACTTCTAATACTATCATGGTATTGTTGTAAGTAAGCACATATAAATGTCCCTTGTTGACTAAATATAATTTGTCGTCGATAAATGTTATAATTAGAATATGTTGTTTAAAATCATATAAATGTCCCTTGTTGACTAAATATAATTTGTCGTCGATAAATGTTATAATTAGAATATGTTGTTTAAAATTTTAAAGTCCATCTTTTTTTTAGGCTATTAGGGGCATCAAAACACGAGCCAAACTATACGATTACAATAATTTTATGTTTTATTTGGACAATTTTGATACAATTTTTAGTTCCAAAAATGTTTAAAAAACAACTCATCAATTTTACAGAGGAACAACCTTGGAACTAACATTTTGTAAAAAAATTCTCTTGAGCTAAATTATACAAATTACTCATAGACTTTTTACATTTTTTTAATAATATTCTTTAAATTTTAAAAGTTTTAATACATGTAACTCTAAAAAGAAAATACTTTTGTCGTTAATATATAGACGAAAATCATTTGTATCATGTTCTAATAATATTTATTAATTTTTTAAAATTTCATTAATATTTTAACTAAAAAAAAATGTTAAGAATGTCATTTTCTTTAGTATATGGTGAAAATAGTTTCACCCCTTTCCTTATCTATGCTTTAATCTATAATTTAACACTTTTCTCATTTTTCATCTTTTCACCCATCTTCCACTCATTAACGTATATTTAAATAGTTTCCGTCATCGAAAATGCATTTTTTAACCTTTTTTTTCCTTAAAAGATTAACTATATTTACGTAACTTTGAAAGTTTACTTTCAAAAAGTAGGGTTGAAATGAGGTATAAATGATTTTTATCTATTATTATATAATTTTAAATTTTTTTAAAAGGATGTTAATGTAATTTTTTAAATTTTTGTGAAAATTATCTTATTTTCTGCTAAAAATATAATTTTAATTTCCATATAGATATATATATATTTTAAAATTTAAATGTACCTATTAAACTATACTTATTATTTAATTAATTTCTATAAAAATTAACTTTGAAAGTACATAGGTTAAAAGAAAATAAAACCAGAATTACAAAAACTAAAATAATATTTATTTATTTTGTACTATTTTCCCAAACCTACCCGTTTACGGGAGATAGCCGGTTCAAAACCGGAAAATTGGTTAAGCCCGAGAAGCCATTTTCGAACCGTTATAATACCCAAATCCGAACGTTGCGGTTCAATTTTCAAATACATATGCGGGGGAAAGAGAAAATCCCCAATCTCATCTCTCTCTCTCTCTCTCTCTCTCTCTCTCTCTGGCTGTGGTGCCTTTGCTGTATGTGTAATCCCAGTTCAAGTTTAGGTTTAGATCTCTGATACAGTTTCTTTGAGCTGATTTTCGATCGGACAAGAAGAAGTCAGGAACGATTTTCTGTAATCGTCAGGCTCCGCCGATTTTAGCAGGTAGTTCCTTACTCGTCTTTCGTCGTCTTTTTTAATTTCTTGACCCATTTGTTTGGTTACTTGAATTTTAAGACTGATTTCTCCTAGATCCCCTCCAGCGGTTTCAATCGGTAGCTTAGTTACTCGTCAGTAGTATTTTCACTCTCTGTTTGGTTCCAGCCCACTTACACTTGATCCATATGGACTCATCGGGACCCTGTTTTGCGTCCCATGATTTCATGATTCATAATTTGATGTTAATGGTTTTCTACTTGTACTACATTGTTTTTGGATTATGTTTTTTTGTTCGGCACTGATTGCATTTCTGATGAAAAAGATTTACAACATTTTGTGTCCTAATCTTGTCCTTGTTGCAAAATGAACCAGTCGTATAGTTGCCATATTGATTAGTGTTATGCTAGAAAATGAAAGTGATCTGATGGAAGTACTATTTTCTATCCATTCTATTTTGTTTATTGTTGTTGCTGCAATGGTATGTTTTATACTTCTTCCATTCAGAGCAATGATATATTTTTAATCTTTTCCATTCACAGAATGGGTGTTGAAAATTACCATGTAATTGAGCTTGTTGGGGAGGGCTCCTTCGGAAAAGTGTATAAGGGAAGGCGGAAGAACACAGGCCAGGTGAATTGCGAACTTATATGGTTTTTGCTTTACTCGTTAAAATTATTAATTTAAGTTGTTTACGGCTCTTCTCAGACCGTTGCAATGAAGTTTATTATGAAGCATGGAAAAAGCGAGAAAGACATTCACAATTTAAGACAGGAGATTGAGGTACCCGACTAGTTTACTTGGCATTCCTGGCATGTGTACGGTCTGTAATCGTGTATAACGTTTCTTTGTAGAGCATTATATTGATGGCATCTTTTGTATCTCTGTGTTCCCAATTGTTGTATAGAAATTTATTTAAGGTGCTAGACATACATATTTTCTTCTTTATTTATAATATTTCCTGTTTCTAAGCAATCACGTATGATAAGTGAAGAATGGTCATTATTTATTGAGATTAATCATTCTTTTCCTGCGTAAAGTTAAGGTATTTGGTGTCATAACGTTGCAGATACTAAGAAAGCTGAAGCATGAAAATATCATCGAAATGCTCGACTCGTTTGAAAGCCCGCAAGAGTTTTGTGTTGTCACAGAATTTGCACAAGTAATTCTTCTTCTTATTTCTTGATATTGATTAAACACATGTATGTTCAAAGCATACATTTTTGCCAATTAATTGTAGGTTGCAAAACATTCACATTCTGCATGGAGTGATGATATGTACAAATGCATACATACATACATACATACATATATGTTAAGGAACATATATATATAATATTGTTTCACGTATGTACCAAAACCTAGCTTATGTGCAACATTAGTTTCACGTATGTGACAATTTCTGATTGGTAGGGTGAACTTTTTGAGATCCTTGAGGATGATAAATGCCTTCCCGAAGAACAAGTTCAAGCAATTGCAAAGCAGTTGGTAATCCATGAATTTATCTCTTTTCCTGGTCAATGATTATCTTAATATCGGGTCACTGAGACTTTATAGAATCATTCAATTGTATGAATTTTGAAATTTCTCTTAACCTGATTAGAACAATTACTTTCAGGTAAGAGCATTGCACTACTTACACTCCAATCGTATCATCCATCGTGATATGAAGCCCCAAAACATTCTTATTGGAGCTGGATCTGTTGTTAAGGTTTGCCCTCACCTTATGCTTATTGACCATGTCTCTGTTACTAGCAGAACTTCTCAAGTATTCTCTAAATGAATAGTAGTAACTTCTTTAAGTGTCCTATTGTATCAAATTTTTCTGGGTAGTATGAAGCAGATGCATTCTAAATTATCATGAAATGACATGTCAATACACATAAATTATGCGTCACCAAATTTATAAAAGAACTAAAAACCGAAATGTTAGATCTAACATCAACTTAAAACATCAAGCTGAAAATTAAATCTAATAACAAAGTTAGAAACTTAAGAAACTCAAAATTGAAATGTAGTTAGGAGAAACCTCAAATCTCAACACTCCTTAGTTTTTCTTTGTCACACCTAGCTTGTGGTGCATGTACAAACGGTCATATGACAGAGCTTTTGTGAGAATGTTGATGAATAAAAATGAGCTTGATTTTGTTTTTTTCCCTGATTGTTAAGCAGCTTGCTTTTGATTCTCGTCAATTCAGTGCATCGTTACGTGAGTTTATTAAAATTACTTTTTTTTCTTATAACAACCTTTTCGTCATGCATTGATGAAATAATGTGATTTAATGTATTAGTGTAATACCAATTTATTGCATCCAAATTTTCTTTATATGCTATTATTTCTAGTACAACTTTTTAATAATTTTAGGCATTTTCATACTGATATCCCGTACTCTTTTTATGATTTATTTACCCCAGCTTTGTGATTTTGGGTTTGCTCGAGCAATGTCGACAAATACTGTTGTTTTGCGATCAATAAAAGGTAAGTTGTTCCAATTGTTCTCTCTGTATGATTGATCAGGAATAGAAAAGGAAAATTTGCATCTGGTTGTCAAATATCGACATCCCTCCTTTTTTCGCATTAAAGGGAAACTTCTATTGCATGCTCTACCTGATTACTAGTGAATGGTTACTTGTCGTTAGTTTTCTTGTAAATATAAAATGATCTTGAGCAATGATGTATTGGACATTCATCTGCTTTATGAAAATGTAAAGTTTCTTTGATAACTATATGAGGCATTTCATCTTGGTTTCCAGTTTTAAATTATTATAAAGTCATTTGAACAGTACAACCACACTCCCTGTTTGTTTATTAATATTGTTTTATTAATTTTATTCAGGCACGCCTTTGTACATGGCTCCAGAATTGGTCCGTGAACAACCTTATAATCACACTGCAGACCTGTGGTCATTGGGAGTGATATTGTACGTGGATTATTGTTGTCTTTGATTTTATTTCTGTTCATTATCTTCTACTTAGAAATTATGTACTTTTTATTCTTATGTTGCATCTGATTTTCTTAATTGTTAGTTGAATAATCTCTTTGTTCTCTACGATTTTATGTTTTTGTTCAATTTTCATCCATATGCTATTATTCCATAGAATTGTCAATCGAGCTATATTAGATGTTGCAACGTTTTAATAGATTCTCTACTTTTCATGATTCGTATGTCATAAGAGATTACTTGTGGTGAACAAGGGTAAGTTACATATATACTTGCGTTTTATTGATGAAGTCCTCATTCACTGTTGCATGTGTGTATGTTGAGCAAAATCCTTGTGTTCTTTTATAAGTTTTATTTTTATGTCACAATGAGTAAATGAA